ATAGATAATTTCAAATACCTAAAAGTCAGATTTTGCTAAAGAATAATAAGTATGTTATATTCTTAAATCACAGCATGATTCAACTCTAATATTAGGCCATAGTAGCTCCAAGGCCCTGAATTCTTGGTTAATCATTGATGTTCCTGCTTCCTGTATTTGCACCCTTGGGGACATGTTCATCTAACCCCACTGCCCTTTTCACATGATCAGTTTTTATCCCTTTTCAACACTTTTCATTTTGTTGTGTTTCTTTGGACATTGTACAACAGAGAGGTTGAAAGCAGAGCCAGACAGGCAGAAGAGAAATTTGATGAAGTATATGAGAAGCTTCATTATACCCTCATAAAAAATAAAGATCTGGAAGGGGAACTAGAAGAAATTATCAAGATTAGAAAGGAATCAGAAGATAAACAAGAAAAATATGAAAGAGGAAAAGAAGAGAAAGTTAAAGTGGTGGAAAAACAAAAACAGGAGGGTGAGGAGGAGGAAGAATAAATTTAGGCCAATAGAAATTTGCTCAAAACCTCTAAAGAAAGGTGAGATTTGCTTTCTCGTTTTGCTTTATTTAGATTGTATTTATGAAAGAAAACAAGATTGTGCCACAAATATTTTAAAAGAGTAGCATATCTTTAGTGCTGATCCACTAATCTATGCTTCTGATAGGCTTACACATATATTTCACTAGCTTATTGGACAATTCACGTAAAGAAAACCAAGTAACTAGAGGTAGTGGACAAATAAACATGAAATACAACTTTTACTTAAAAAACTGGCAAAAGTTTCTTTAAGTGAAATAAAACTGTTTATCATAAGTAACAGCATAATTGTTTTATAATGTTCTTATAAGTGTTTTAAATATTATATGTACATAATAGTGGGGTACATTTTGACATAATCATACATTCCTGGAATATAATTTGCTCTATTTCAGTCCTCTCTATTCTTTATCCCTCCCCTTGTTCCCTGTCCTCTATTCCACTGGTCTTTTTTCTGTTTACCTATTGATTGTTAAAGTGGTGCTTTATAGATACACATAAAAATGAAATTCACTGTGTTATATTCATGTATGTACTTAGCATAATTTGGTCAATTTTTTGGAATATAATTTGAGACTAGGGATGTAGCTCAGTGGAAGAGTGCTTGCCTAGTATGCACGAGGCCTGCCAAAAAAATATAATTTGAGAGTAGGTATGGGTATTCCTTAAAACATGCATATATTCTACTTACAATGTCACTCTTGAAAATCTTGCCTAAAGAAATAGCTGCTGTGGTGACATGTGCCTATAGTCCCACTTTTGGGAGGCTGAGGTGAGGATCCTTTGAGCCCCTGAGTTAGAGATCAACCTGGGAAACATAATAAGACCTCATCTCAGTCATCATTATCATCATCATCACCATCACCATCATCATCATCATCCTGATCCTGGGGGCTTAGTAGTGTGTTTACCTAGCAGGAACAGTTCCAGGGCTGCCCCACACCGCAACCAAAAAATCTTCAATATAGCAAAAAGTTTAATGTGCAGAGGTGTTTGGTACATATTTTTTTTTGTTGATTTTATTTTATTTTTTTAATTGTTGGTTGTTCAAAACATTACATAGTTCTTGATATATCATATTTCACACTTTGATTCAAGTGGGTTATGAACTCCCATTTTTACCCCGTATACAGATTGCAGAATCACATCAGTTACACTTC